GGGTCTCCTGGAGAAAGGCGGGGTACCTGCCACCTCCTGCAGCCCTAATCACCCCTTCTGCTGGGACAGCTCAGGGCCTGGGAAGGTACAGGCCAGACTGGAGCTGTGAAAGGACAAGGGCAGTTGGAGGTGAGCTCCCGCCTCCCTTACCATCGGAGTTGTGACAAGCCCTACACTGGAAGCAGGCAGTGACCCAGGGCCAAGGAAGGAAACTTGGGTTTCTTGTAAATAAGCAAAGAGAAACCCCAACCAAGAGAGCTTGCAAAACCTTTATTTTTTTCCTCCCTCTTCCTGATTTCGTCTCGAATGGAGGGGGTGGTGAAAAGAAAGGAATAGAGGAGCAGGAGCTGACAAAATAGTTGTGGCTGGGGCCCCTTGGCTAGGCATCTGCTCCAGGAGGAGGGCTCTGCTCGCTGGTCGGGGTCAAGGCTGTGGGAGAGGCCGACGGACAGATTACTTCTGCTCCGTCCATGGCTACAAACTGGACTCCTGGCTCTGGCCCTCCGGCTCTTAAATACACACCGCTGGTCACGTGGGGCAGCATGCAAATTGGCCTCTGGATGACTATTAGCCAGAGGAGGGGCTGTTTTTAAGTAGAGGGTACAGCTGTTCCTGGGGTAGTTTCCATTTTGTTTGTGGTTGTGGGGGAGGGGCGGTGAGAGAGTGGGAAATGGCATGAAGGAAATTGTCACTTCCTTTCCAGAGAATTCCAGAAAGGTTTCATGGAGGCCTGGGTATTTCAGGAGTGAGGGCTGCTGGCTCCAAGAGGATGAGGAACTGGAGAAGGAGAACTCTTGCTTTGTGGCCTGGCTGACCATCTGGCCCCCATGTTTCCTGGCGTGCGTGAGAATGCCACGGGTGTTACTAGCAATTCTGTGAGAGCCATTGGCTCAGCTGAACGGGCGTAGATTTAAACTCGCTCCACGGAGACTGTGGATGCGGCTTCCACATAGGGGCTGCTTCCTGTATGCAGAGGAGGCCCAGTGGGTGGGTGCTGGACACCGCTTGACGTGCTCCAGTGACAGCCGCAGAAAGGGTCTGTACAGCTGAAGGGGGCCCAGCTGTGATGACGCAGAGAGCAGCCCAAACCACTTCTATTTTGCTCTTTTGGTTTTGAAATGCAGTCAGAACCACAGCGAGCCCGAGGTGTGCGTTTGCAGGCTGGGGATGTAGGCGCCCTCGCTTGCTTGCTCCCTCCTGCGGCACACGTCCGCTCACACACAGTGTCCGGGGGCCATCTGCTCTCCAGACGCTGTGCTCTCAGTGCGAGTAGGACAGGCCTGGGAGCTAGGGGTCCTGGCGCGGCCTCCAGGGGAGTGGAGGGACTGGAGCTCTCGCCACCCTGGGAGTTTACTCCGACTGGAGCCAGCTGTGGTCTGTACAGTGATGGGGCGGGTGGGGACCTTCCCAGGCACGTCTGTGACTGAGCCAAGTGTCTGTGTGTACCCGCCTAGCGCCCCGCTCACCGTCGAGGCAGCGTCAGGGGCTCTAGGCCACCGAAGCTGTGTCTGCGTGTGTCTGTAAGGACACCAGGGAGGAGCGCCCCTGGTGTGGGCCTCTCTGGCCTCCAGCAGGGCGGGCCTTCTGTGGTGGTGGTTTTTTGGGTTTCAGGTTCCTGGGAGAGGGAGGTTATTTTGAGGGACCTGGGGGGGGTGGTTCGCTCCTCTGCCGGGGAGAGTGAGTGACATGCAAATGAGCCTCTCCCCACCTCTCACTTTCAAATCCTCAAACATCTGAGGGGGGAGGGGCAAAGCTTTCTGGACTGGAAGGTTCCATGGTGGGGCTGGGATGGGAGTTTTCTTAGCCTTGGCCAACAAACCTAGGACAGCTACTTCACCCCCCCGCCCCCCAATCCCAGCTGGAGGCGGGCGCTGGGACAGAACAGGACACCAGGCTCAGCCTTGGGTCCTGCGTGCAGCACCCTCGCAGTGCTCCCGGCCCCGGGTCAGCAGAACCCGCACCAACCAGGCCCTGAATTTAGATACTTAGACGTGTGGACACTGAAAGAATGCAGTTGGATTAGTCTCTTTCAAAGCCCTCTGCATCGATGGCCCAGGTTTCCGTCCAGGACCGTGCGTGGGTGGCCTTCCCTCCCCCACCACCTCCATATTCTGCGGCCGGCGCCGTTTCTTCCCGGGAAGCACAGGACTTTGACTTTTCGGTGGCCGGGGTAGGGGGCAGCAGCGGTGGCAGCCCGTCCCAGCCCCCCCTCGCCGCGGCCCCGCTGGAGCCGGCACCTAGCTCCGCTTTGTCCTTCTTCTTCCCACGAAGGCAGGCGTGAGGGAGAAGGAGCCCAGGACGGAGGCTGTGGCGCTGCTGGCCCGACCCGGGCAGCCCTCCGACACACAGAGGCCCTCGTGCACACATCCCCGCGCTTGGGGCACACGAGCACAGCCTGCACACAAGTAAATCCGTGGTGTGTTCGCACACCCGCAGTGAGAACCCCCATCGTCAGTTACAGTGCGAAACTATACAGATGTAACACACACACAGCGCACGATTCTCTCTCTCTCATAAGCCTGGGTGCACAACACCCGCCCCACAACCAATGTACACGTGGATATATATTTTTTAGAGAGGGGGGAGAGGGAGAGAGAATCGTAAGCAGACTCCCTGCTGAGCACAGAGCCCGCCAGAGCGGGGCTCTATCTTGCAGCCCTGAGATAGTGACCTGAGCCGAAATCAAGAGTCAGACGCTTAACTGACTGAGCCACGCAGGCTCCCCACATGGATATATTTCTTGCCCAGAAAATACACCTCACTGGTACTGACTGACCAGTATCATTCATCCATCCATTCGTTCGTTCGTTCATTCATTAGTTCATTCATGTGTTTGTTCTGCAGACATAAATCGAGTGTCTGCTACATGCAAAGCACCGTGCAAGGTGCTAACGTTTCACTGATGACCACTGATGTCCCAGCCCTCTAGGAAGCCACCGCCAAATGGGGGAGGTCAGGAAGGTGCACGGAAGGTCCACAGGCAGAGAGCACCAGTGAACGCGCAAACATCAAGTGCTGATCTGGGAAGAGAAGCCAGAGATGAGCAAACCTGGAGGGAAGGGCTGCAGCGGAATGACCTCGTTGAGGGGAGCGGGGGCAGACACCGGAGTTTCGTGTTTAGACAAAGTGGGATTAGGTGAAAGTGATCCCTTTCATTTGATTAGTATGAGAATGCTTCCTGGGGGCAGACAGCCGGCCGGAGGCAGGGCGGGGAGCTGCGGAATGCGGGCCTTGGGGCGCTTTGGCTAGAGGAGACAGACCTTCCAAGCATAAATGGCCCTGGGACGCTTCACAGGCGGGCCACAGGAGACTGGGTCACAGGCGGGGCCGGGTGGGGGTGGGGGGGGGGGGGAGGGGTGGAACCCCGGCCAGACCGTGTTTTCCCCCGGGCCGCCTCTTCGTCCTAGCCGGGCTGTCTCCTTCACCCAAAGGCAACTCAGACCTGACAGGTTGAGCGGAGCGACTTCTTGAAGTTTTGTGTCGGGGGCCGGGGGTGGAAAGGTGCGGGGGGGGGTGCGGGGGGGTGTGGGGAGCGGGCGGAGCCAGCCCTGTGGGCTAACGGAAAGGAAGTGGGAGAGGCCTGGGTGTCTCCTGTGGGGGAGAGCGGTCATCAGAGAGGTCACCCATGGTCCTCCTCCCTTTCCTCCCCTTTGCCCCTCTCTGAAGTTCCTCATTTCTTTCGGGGCCAGGAGAAGGCTTTGCCACCCTGGCACTGCCAAACCTGGAGGGCAGGTGTGTCGCTCCTGCTGTGGTGCGTGGACCCAGTTCTTCAGGCATTCGTGGTTGAACCGGGCTGTTCGTAGACCCACCCCATGTCCGCACACACGAGCGTACCATTAAAAACAACCCTACGGGCCAAAGCTGAGGTGCCTGCGAGTGGCAAAGCCCAAGCGTTCGGGAGGAGAGGCGCAGATTGGGCTGGCAGGGGGGCCGTGGGAGTGGGAGCTAGGCTTCGGGGGGTCGGCACGCGGGCCACCGCAGCAGACCACTGGAGGCCCGGGTGCCGAATGGGGGTCTGAGGGGCGTGCTGTCGGCACCAGAGGCACTGGGGAGAGGAGAGACATGTGGGCTGCAGCAGACAGGTTTCCTGGAAAAGGGGGGGGGGTGCTGAGCCAGCCCTGGAGGATGGGGAAGGTTCTGTGGGCCCCTGCCTGAGCTGGGGCTCTCCTCTCCAGTTCCCAGGGTGACAGTTCAGTCTTGAAACTGAAAGCAAAGCTGCAGCAACAGCGCGAACCCACACAAGGCAGCGGGTGGCGGGGGTGGCGGGGCAGCGATAAGTGTGCAGGGCCTGTGGCCCACCTGGCCCTCTGTCTCGGGGCTCTCTGGGGGCGTGGCCAGTTCCCAGAGTCCCCTCCCCAGGAGCAAGGTCAGACCTGCGCTGGCCCTGACCGCACAACCCCCCACGTTGAGACGTTTCTTCCTCTGTAGACTCTGCCCTTCAGAGCTGAGTGGCCCCCACGTCCAAGGTAGACCGAGCCAGGCAGAGCCTGGAAGAGCACCTGGTACCGCCATGTGTCCCTAACCCACACCCTCTCACACAAAATTCTTTCTGAGCCAAGGGAATTTTAAGGATTCTTCATGCTGCTGTCCCATCTATAAGGACGGATGGGGTGCCCTGATTTCCCCTGTGGCCACACCCTGGAGATTAATCTTCAGGGTGGAGAGAGCCCAGAGTCCCTCGATCTGTAACCTCTAGAGGAGGCAGGAGAGAACGGAGGGAGGCTGTGTGTCTTCGCGGCCGGCTCAGGTGCAGACGCGCTGACAGACTGACACTGAGACTTGGCCACTTCCCACTGGACACAACTCAGTTAACTAACTTCCTCTTTTTCCTTCTTTTTTTTTTACCTGCCTCCTTTCTTCTTCCCCTTTCTTCTCCTATCATCCTCCCCTTTTGGCAGTCTGGCCCTGGTGGCGGGGTCCCTGCTGTTGGCTAGCCGTCCGGGGAACAAAGCTCAAGGAAGGTGACTTACTCATTGCCCCTGTCTCTCCCTTCTCCCTAGGTCACTCCTGTGGTTGGCCCAGCCCAGCATGCAGCCTTGAACCTGGCATAGGCCACCACCTACTCCAGCTCTCTACACCCCCTATTTTACTGTGGCTCGGGGTGCAGGCTCTAAGCTCCAAGGTACCTGAACAGCATCTCTTTGTCAAAAACACCCCCGCAGCTCCAGAGGGCCCTGCGAATCCTTCTGTCAGCTCTCTGGGGAGACAGCATGGCTATTACCTTGCAGCCCAGTGACCTGATCTTCGAGTTTGCAAGCAACGGGATGGATGATATCCACCAGGTATGGCCCCAGAGAACAGAGCTCGGTCAGCCAGGCGGACGATCAGATAGACACAGACAGGCCGGCAGACAGCAAGCCAGCCGGAACCCCTGACTAGCCAGTTGGCAAATATAGATCAAGCACCTACTAGGTCCAGGCCACCGGGCCTGCCTGCCTGCCAGCCAGACTGTGCGCCTGCTTGTCACTCGTGCGGCCAGTCAGTAGTCCTTGGGCGGTCATTCCATGTGCAGTCACGGGCCATGCGCCATCACCCAGCCAGCTGTGCGGCTATGAAACACAGCAGCTGGGCTGTCAGTCGATCAGCAGTGGGGGCCGGACGCACAGGTGCACCTGGACCCTCATGTGCATGTCTGTCCCCTTCCCTTCACCTGCAGTGTCACAGTGAGAAAGCTGCCAGGACAGCCACATAGCAAGAGTGAGCTCTGCCAGCCGGCCCCACAGGGCACAGACCAATCCCCGGCCCCTTCAGACTCCCATCTCTAGCCTGGTTGACGGGCCCTTCCAGAACCATCTTTTCAGCCTCGATCTGAGGATTCAGATCTGGAAATGGGGTTCTCTGGTGAGGGAAAGGTGAAAAAGTGGACAGAATTTCAGCACTTAGGTCCCTACCGCTCCGTATCTTGCTCTGAACTGGGGCTGAGGGAGCATGTTTTCCGTGCACTTGGCTGTACCCTTTGGATGGTGTCTTGGCACACCCATCGCTACCTTCCACTCCTCTCCTTCCACAAACTGGGGAAGAGGCAGCCATGTACGGTAGAAGGAACAGAAGATTAAGAGTCAGGAGTCCTGGTTTCTGATCCCAGTTTGGCCACAGTGTCACATGGGCAAGTCCTGTCCCCTACCCTATCTGGCTGCCATCTTCCCCTCTTCACCAAGAGGAGATCCAGTTGGATTATCTCTAAGGGCACCCCAGCCTAATACTGATGCTCTCTGTGCTGAATCCTTGTGAGGACAGAAAACTTCGTCCGACCTCTAGCGGCCTACCCAGGGCTGCCCCCTAGTGGGCTTTGAGCACATTGTGCTTTCTGTCCCGCGGGGTCTTAACCTCAAGTTGCCCAGTCTTACCCAACACATGGGAAGAGAAGGAAAGAAAAATCTAACCATACCTGGGTTCTCGATACTACTAGTCATTTTTTGCCTGTTTCTGATCTGCTCAGCAACTGTTAACTGTTCTTCACGGAGGCTGTTCTTCCCTCCTAATCCCACACCTGCCCCTCCACCCTCAGCAGACAGCTTCTGCTCCAATTCACAGAGAAGCCAAGGACACCCTCTGTTTCCCTCCCTTCTCCCTTTTACTGATAACATCACTGTTCCTGTTTCCTTCCCGCTGACCCGGGACAAAGAAGTGTCCCTCTTCCTTCCAGCGGTATCTCCTACCGTACTTAATTAACTCTTCTCTCCTGCCTCCAAGACCTCAAACCATTGGTCACCTCCAATGTCTCTCTCTTAAATTCTTCAGACCTTCCAGACCTTTCTCCTCAACATAGAACATCTTCAGGTCTTCTCTCCCTTCTACCCACCTCCTTCAAAAAACCACCTTCTTAACTCCTTTCTGTTCATCAGTATGGTTTCCACCCTCTGTGCTTACATTCTCACCTCCTTTCTCTCCCTTCAGGAAACCATTTGTATTGAAAAATGTATCATTAATACAAAAGAGTGTATAAATCATATATATATATATGAATAATTATAAAATGAACACCCATGAACTCACCACCCAGGTTAAGAAATAAAAGCATTACTAGTCTCCTAGAAGTCCCTGGTACCTAAAACACTCGATGAGAGCCGACTGTACACTGACCCTGTTCCTATGCGCTTTATGCGTATTGATCTGTTTACACAACCCTATGGTGTTGTTTAATATGGCCACCCCAATTTTATAAATGAGGAGACCGATGCACAGCAAGATTAGGTAGCTTGCCCAAGGTCCCACTGCTACTAAGTAGCAGAGCTTGGTTTCAAAGCCAGGTTGTCTAGCTCTAGATCAGGACAATCCAATGGAATTTTCTGAGCTACTAGAAGTGTTCCGTATTTGCCCTGTCCAGTACAGGGCCACTTGTCACAAGAGGCTATGAAGCACTTGAACTGTGGCTAACGCAACCAAAGGACTGGACTTTGTATCTTGAAAAAGTTTTACATTTACATTTAAACAGTCACCCATGCCTACTGGGTACCATATTGGACAGACAGCTCTCAACTCTGTGGCCTTCATCACTATATCTGCCTGCCTGCCTCAGTCCGTCCTCTCTGAGATCTGTTGTAATGTGCCTTGGGACCCCAGCAGTCCCCTGAAAGTGCTCTAGCCAGGGTGACTGCCCAGTGGCCAAACCCAATGGCGTTCTATCAATTTTTTTTTTCTGCATCCTTCAGGAACGTTAGGTAGAACTGAACATTCTCATTCTTTTTTCATGAAAAAAGAATTAACAACCCCATGAAAGAAAATTTGGAAAATACAGAAAATTGGAAAGAAAGGGAAAAAAGTCACCCAAAGTCCCACAATCAAAGTATAATTATTATAAACATTCTGGTATAATTCCTTATATACATAATTTTTGAGAAGAGTTGCAGGGCGCCTGGGTGGCTGAGTTGGTTAAGCGTCTGCCTTTGGCTCAGGTCATGATCCCAGGGTCCTGGGATCGAGTCCCGCATCGGGCTCCCTGCTCTGCGGGGAGCCTGCTTGTCCCTCTCTGCTGCCCACCCCGCCACTCATGCTTGCTCACGTGCACTCTCTCTCTCAAATAAATGAATGAATAAATCTTTAAAAAAAAACACAGTTTCAATCACAGTCTTTTTTTAAAGATTTTATTCATTTATTTGAGAGAGTGCAAGCGAGAGAGCACAAGCAGGGGGAGCGGCAGAGGGAGAGGGAGAAGCAGACTCCTCACTGAGCAGAGAGCCCGACGTGGGGCTCGATCCCAGGACCCTGAGATCATGACCCAAGCTGAAGGCAGCCATTTAACCAACTGAGCCACTCAGGTGCCCACAGTCCTTTTTTAAAAAAGCTTTTATTTATTTATTTTAGAGAGAGAGAGAGAGAGAGAGCACGAGCAGGGGTAGGAGCAGAGGGAGAGGGAGATGGAGAGGGAGATAATCTCATGAGCACAGAGTGCTAGCCGGGGCCCGATCCCATGACCCTGAGGTCAGTACCCGAGCTGAAACCAAGAGTCGGACACCCGACCGACTGAGCCACCCAGTCGCCCAGTCACACTCCTTTTTCATTTAGCTTTGTTTGATTTGAGGACAGCTTGGTCCTCCAGGGGTCAAATTCTCATCCTTATCATTGTATCCACTCTAAGCGACCATCCTTTTGGACTCTTGGACACATATTTTTGACTCACTGATAGGTATCTCCATGTTAAATATCTCAAAGGTACCTCAAAGCCACCATATCCAGACACTGTTCCCCTTCTCTTTCTCTAAAAACCTGCTTCTCCTCCTCCTTCACATAAACAGTGTTCCCTTGTACCCAGTGAATCAAGCTGGAAATTAGAATCTTCTCCCCCATCCAGACAGGGACTGGGCCCTAACCTTCCTTCTACCTCTATAATGCCTCTGTTCTTCTGTCTTTATTGCCGGAGACTAAGATGTGCACAGTCAGAGCCCCTAACCCTGGATACCCAACCCTGACTGGAGGCTGAGTCCCTCACCTGGCTATAGATTGAGCCCCTCACCCTCGCCATTGACTAATCCTTTCCCACTGGCCTAAGAAGAAGCCTAACCATTCTCATAGACTGAGCACTAACCCTCGCCATGGGTTACCCAGAACTACAACCAATTAAAACTGCCTGCCCTTGATTTGAGTGCAGGTGGTACAGAGCTACCCCATCTCTGTTGATCAAGAATCCACTCAAAGCATCACCTAGTGAGGTTGGACCCAGAGCAGTGTCATTTCATACAAAGGACAAGCCCTGGGGGCTCCAAGAATTAGGAATTGCAAGCAGGGCCAGATTCTGGTAGGGAGGGCCTCCTGGAAGAGGCAGGTGAGCCCTAAAACGGATCCCTATCTTGTCCATAGCTGGAAGACCCCTCGGTGTTCCCAGCTGTGATCGTGGAGCAGGTACCCTACCCCGAATTACTGCATCTGTACTCAGGACTGGAGCTGGACGACGTTCACAATGGCATCATAACGGATGGGACCTTGTGCATGACACAGGATCAGATTCTGGAGGGCAGTATTTTGCTTGCAGGTTTGTTTCCTTTCTGGGCAGGGGAGTATGGAAGAAAAAGGGGTTCTGTCATCAGGGAATATAGTAGCCCACAGTGGCTTTCAGTGACCCCACGCAGCAAGGGCAAGGCCCACAAGAGTGGGAAATTTGATAGCGTGGTTAGGACAAACAAAAGGTAGTACCACTTCATAGAGGAGGAAACCATCCAAATGGGTCCGTGGTCTTTCAGGATGGAGTGGGACGAGGCAGAGTGAAGGGGAGACCGGCTGGGGTGAGTGTAGAGAAAAGGTGGAGAGTGTCAGTAGGTGGCACGCTAGCCCCTTCCAGGTCCCTTGGCTTCTTAGCACTGTTCTCTGGGCTGGCCCCATGAGAGCTTTACCCCTGCCCTGAGCGCTGAGGGAACTTTTTTCTGCCCCCTGCGCCCCACACAATGGAACCTGGAACCAGATGACAATGAAGCAACCTCACAAACCATGTCAACCACTGAAGTCTTGCTCAATGTCGAGTCTCCTAACGACATCCTGGATGAGAAGCAGATCTGTAAGTGTGAACCCTGGTGCCTTAACTCAAGGCAACAAAAAATGCCATTTAAAAATATCACATCCACATACTGGATTTGCAGATATGCGTACCCACCGCCACTGCCGCCGTGTAAACGTGCTCTTGAGCTGGGGCAAGAATGGCGGGGGCAGAGGGGCAGGGTAGACACAGGGAAAAGGTGGCCAGGGGGACTTTGCTTTTCCGGTTTTTAAATTGTGGTAAAATACACATAACATAAAATTGACTACCTTCACCATTTTTCAGTGTCCAGTTCAGTGGTATTAAGTTGTTGGGCAGCCATCGCCACCATCCATCTCCAGAACCTTCCATCTTGCAAAACTGAAATTCTGTGCCCATTAAACACTAACTCCCTATTTTCCCCTCCCCTCAGCCCTTGGCAGCCACCGCTCCACTCTCTGTCTCTATGAATGGGACTACTCTAGGGACCTCACAGGAGTGGAGTCACCATAGTGGTCTTTGGGGACTGGCTTATTTCATTTAACATAATGACGTCAAGGTCTGTCCATGTTGTAGCATGTCAGAAATTCCTTCCTTTTTAAGGCTGAAGGCTGACTACTATTGGCCAGGGTGACTTTTCGGTCCCCTCTGCTCTCTTGCTGGGGCCCCCAGAAAGACTCTGCAGGGTGTGGCTTATTTAGAAATGTGCCAGGCTTGGAGCTTGGCTCCCCACCTCCCCAGAAGGCCCCCCAGGTGGGCTCCTGCCCCACCCCCCCCCCAGGCCTTTGCCCGACTCATGGACAGGAGAACTTCTGGCCCTAAGTGCCCCTTCCCGAGGGCAGGCTGGGGATCCCGCGGGGGGGAAAAAGCCTGAAGCTGCCAGTTAAGAGTTCCAGCACTTCTGTTCCTGACCCTGTCACAAATGTGCACTCAGGCTTCAGCAAATACTTACTGAATGCCTACACGTACCAGGCACCAACATGCTGTGTGACCTTGGACACATGCCCTGCCATCTCTGGATCTCAGTTTCCTTATCAGAAAAGCAGAGGAATTGGGCTAAATGATATCTAAGGCGCCTTCCAGTTGTAAAACAAGTGAATGACGAAATCAAGGTGGCCCTTTACCCTGGGTGTTGCCTGGAACTTCCCCCACTGCCGGCAGGGGGCTGTAAATGTGGCAGCCGTGATTGGGACTAGCTCATGCCCACAGCCCTGCAGATGTTTCCTGTCCTCATGGTGTGAGACACATGAGGCATTTTCAGGTGTATCCTGCATCTGGGGCAGTGGGGAGCGGCTCCTCCACCCTCCCCGGGAGCCCACCATTCTCTTAAGTGCCAGGAGACCACACTCCTGACCTGCCCTGGGCCTCAGGCACCTCAGGCCTTTCTCCTTGCAGTCAGCACCTCCGAAATGCTTCCAGACTCAGACCCTGCTCCGGCTGCCACTCTGCCCAACTACCTGTTTCCTGTCTCTGAGCCTGATGCCCTGAACCAGGCGGGTGACACTGATGACCAGGAGGGGCATTGTCTGGAGGAGAAGGTCCCCAGAGAGGAAAGTGCCAAGAAGACTGGAAAATCAAAGAAGAGAAGTAAGAGAGAGAGAGAGAGGGAAAGTGTGTGCGTGTGTGTCTGTCTGTCTTCAGGGGGGTGTGGTAGGAGGGGGGCGGGTCAGGGAGCCTATCAGGGGTGAGTGGGTCAAGGCTCATAGACACATTCAGAGGACAGCTCTTTGGTGTGACAGGGGATGGATGAAAAGTCCTCCCTTCTGTACAGCTTGGCCTGCCCAAAGCCTGACATTTCCCACACCGCTCCTGTCAGCCCAGCAGATAGGTAAACTCGTGCAGAAATATCGATGATCCCAAATGGGTTGAATCCTAGTCTAGGTGTCCGGACCCCAGGCTTGGCCCCCTGGCCAGTCCCTGGCCCTCTGGGGCCCTCTGCCTATAAAAGACGCCTCATGCTATGTGCTTATCTTCCTCCTCAGACCTTGTGGAACTTGGGGCTGTTTGTGCGAGAGGACTTTGGGCTTTCCCAAGCCCTGATGTTATTGATTTACTCAGGCAAGGACTGCTTGATACTGCCTTGTCGGTGTGGCGACCAAAACCCCAGTCTCACACTCACCTGGACAACAGCTGCGCCTTGAGGCCACCTTCTCATTTCCAAAATCAGCCTAGGCGGGTTGGGTTCTTCGAAAGGTGACTCATTTGTCAGCACTACGCTCACTGGCCGCGCGGGCAGGAGAGTTATGGTCTACCTCTGGGGCCTGAGCATGAGAGCGGGGCCACTGGGCGGGCGCCGGAGCCTGAGGGCCGCGGTTGTGGAGAGCAGTCCTGGGCCTCTGGCCCCGGTGACCTGGTTCTTGACATGGCACCCCACTCGGGAGCCTGCCCTGCAGCCCTCCGCGTGGTCTCAGCCTCATCCTGCTGCCCCCCCTTCCCCTCCCAGTCCGGAAGACAAAGGGCACCCGCAGTACCTCACCGGTCACTGACCCCAGCGTCCCCATTCGGAAGAAATCGAAGGACGGCAAAGGTAGGGCTGGGAGTCAGGCCAGGTGGGAAGGGGGTCCGGGTGCCTGGGCGGCTCCTCACCGCCTGGCCCTCTGCAGGCAGCACCATCTACCTGTGGGAGTTCCTCCTCGCGCTTCTGCAGGATAGGAACACCTGCCCGAAGTACATCAAGTGGACCCAGCGAGAGAAGGGCATCTTCAAGCTGGTGGACTCCAAAGCTGTGTCTAAGCTGTGGGGGAAGCAGAAAAACAAGCCCGACATGAACTACGAGACGATGGGGCGGGCCCTGAGGTAGGAGCTGCCGGGGCACCGAGTCCCTGCCCCGGGGGCTTTACGGAGATGTCCCTCCTGCTTGAGAGTCTGCTGACGCTCCCATCTGCTTGCCCCTAAGCCCGCGCCCCCGGACCCCTTCTGGGGACACACTCCCCTCCTCTCACAGCTCTGTCCTTGCTTTTTCTCTTTTGAGAGCACAAGAGCCTTTTGGGGCCTCCCATCCCCACGAGGGGCATTCTGCTGGCCAGAGACCTAGGGAGACAGGCCCGAGTTAGCCATCAGCAATCTTGCAGGCTGGGGGACTGCTGAACTCCCCACCGGCCATCCCCTCCTATCCTTCATCCCCCCCTTGTCCTTCGCCCCAACGCAGGGCGGGGCTAGCCTCTGAAACCCCTTTTCATGGCCCTTTGTGTCCTCAGGGGGAGAGCTCGGAAATTTCATAAAAGCCTTCCAAGTCCAAGAGTTGGCCTTACCCCTTCCCTTGACCTGGGGCTCCCATCTGGCTGCCCGGCCAGCCTCCGCTGCCTGCTCGCCCTGCCCCAGAGGGCAGTGTGTCCCTGCTTAACTCCCCACTCCCCACCGCTTGTCCCCCAGATATTACTACCAAAGAGGCATCCTGGCCAAAGTGGAAGGGCAGAGGCTGGTGTACCAGTTTAAGGAGATGCCGAAGGACCTGGTGGTGATTGAAGATGACGAGGAGAGAAGTGAAGTCTCGGCGGCCTCCCCTCAGGCCTCCACGCCCTCCACCTCCTCCACCAGCACCGCCCGACGAGCCAGTTCCAGGGTCTCGGCCAGAGCTGCTCCCCAGAGCAAGGGAGGCCCTTCCTGGGAGAAGCCAAAGGTTCAGAACGTCGGCTTACAGCCATCTGCGAATCTGGAACTGGGACTGTCTATAGATGAGGACATCCCCGCTACCTCCACCGTGCTGACTCCCCCGCCAGAGAGCCAGGCCAAACTCACCAGAGCCGTGAGGTAAGGGCCCCAGAGTCGTTACACATCCTCCCGCAGTACCTCCTGTCGGGGGGTGGGGTGGGGGTGGGGGGAACGTGTTCAGCCTCTTGCCGAGTTGTGCAGTGTCTCCGGTCTCACGGGAACCTCATAGGATCCCTGGGAAGCCAATGGGGCGCTTGTTCGTCAAGAGAGGAGAAGTGACTTGCCCACGGTTGCACACCACAGTGATGGCAAAGCCAGCCCTTGCCCTGGGCGGCGTCTGTCACCCACTGGGGCTGTTCCCGTTATCTCAGAGTGCTCCCCCAGCAGCCACCAGCAACCTCCACATTGGGGCCCATCTTCCCAAGCCACCTCCACTCCAGAAAAGAGGCAACGGAGAACATGACAGAGATGCCCGTTCTGCTTCCCTCGGGCCCTCCAGGCCCCCCTGGAAAGCTCTCGCTGCTTCCTGTCCATGCTAAGTGTCTCCACATTTTCCCTGAGAAGGTTGGGCTTTGAGTTCTGCGTATGTGGCACTCACTAGGCTGGCAGGGGCAAGGTGCCCTTCTGAGGCGGGAAGGCACTAAAGCGGCGTGGTGAGGGACAGGAGCTCTGGGGTCAGAAGGCCTAGATGTGGGTCCCCGCGACTAGCTGTGTGGTCTGGGGCAAGTTACATAACCTCTCTGTGCTCCCGTTTCCTCAAGCTGTAAAGTCAGATTATTAATCTCAGTGCATGGGCTGGTTGGAAGATTCCTGACCTGTACTAAGTGCTCAGTAGATGTTCGCCGATCCAGCGACAAAGACAGAACACCTTCAACGAGCTCTGCTCCTCCTGGGCTCTCCTCCCCAGCCCACTGGGAGATGCCTCCTGCCTTGACCAAACCTGTTTTCTGTTTCTTCTCAGTACTTCTTCAGTGCCCAGCAACATCCACCTGGGAGTGGCCCCCGTGGGGTCGGGCTCCGCCTTGACCCTGCAGACAATCCCACTGACCACAGTGCTGACCAGCGGGCCCCCTGCCAGTACGCCTGCTTCCACACAGCTCGTCCTCCAGAGTGTCCCGCCTGCTTCGACCTTCAAGGACACCTTCACTTTGCAGGCCTCCTTCCCTCTGAGCACCAGTTTCCAAGAAAGTCAGGTGGCAGCACCGGGGGCCCCACTGATTCTCAGTGGCCTCCCCCAACTTCTGGCTGGGGCCAACCGTCCGAGCAACCCGGTGCCATCCTCCGTCGTGGGGGCTGGACCAGCCGGGCCCAGCCCTCAGCCCCCCGGGACTGTCATCGCTGCCTTCATCAGGACTTCCGGTGCCACCGCAGCCTCTGGGGTCAAGGAGGGGCCGCTGAGGCCCTCCTCATATGTGCAGGGCATGGTGACTGGGGCCCCCGTGGAGGGGCTGCTGGTTCCCGAAGAGACCCTGAGGGAGCTCCTGAGGGATCGGGCTCACCTTCAGCCACTTCCAACCCAGGTGGTTTCAAGGGGTTCCCACAATCCGAGCCTTCTGGGGAACCAGACTTTCTCATCTCCCAGCCGCCCCACTGTTGGGCTGACCCCAGTGGCTGAACTTGAGCTCTCCTCAGGCTCAGGGTCCCTGTTTATGGCTGAGCCTAGTGTGACCACCTCTGGGAGCCTGCTGACCAGATCCCCAACCCCAGCCTCCTTCTCCCCATTCAACCCCACTTCGCTTATTAAGATGGAGCCCCATGACATATAAATGAAGGGGCCGGGGGAAGTGTGCCTCACCAGGCCGAGTTGAGCGGCATTTTTATACGGACTTCCTATAGCAGAGACTGACTGAAGCAGGACACCTGTCCTTTTTGTCGGTGGGATCTCAGTACACCAGATCCCCTGTCCCCGACCCCTGCCGGTGTCACCTTGGCCAAGCCATGCCCAGTTTGAGCATCCCTGGCGTCAGACCATGGCCTTCAAGAGCACTAGGGGATATGCTCTTGTCAGGGTAATGGGCTGACTGGGTGATGGAGGGAGAACCTCCTGAGAAGTCTGTGGCCAGGGCCGATGCAGGGGTCCCGTGGGGAGAGTCCTTTCGTGGGGCTTTTCACCGTCTGTGTTCCCTCCACGGGGAATTTCCTATCCCATATGTGAATATCTCTGTATGTATTTGTGTGTACTCGTGGGTCTGTATCTCTGTTTCTTTGGGGAGGATGGGGGTGGAGCTGTGAGGTCTTCAAGGGTGTGTGTCTCTGTGGGTCAGCTGCAGAGATGGGGATTTTTTTTTAAGGGAAGCATTCTCTAATTCCCTTCGGCAAACCATTCAGTTGCCCTGAGGCTATGGGGTACAGGCGGAATCCCCCAAATTGGGAGAGATGTCACAGAGCTGGAGCAGATCCAGGGTAGGAGAATTTCGATGGGTGTGTGTGCTGGGGAAGACGGGAGTTCAAAGGGACAGGGTCGGACCCAGATACGAAGTCCCCACGCAGGGCTGGATTAACTGAATGTTTGTGCCAAGAGCCTGGGCTGTAATATACCAGCCTTCACTGGCACACTGGCCTATCCAACCCCTCCCCCGATCCGGGGATCCCTCTTGATTAGTGTCGCCCCAGTATCTCCCTGCTGTCCGGCGTGGCTGGGGTAGCCGTGTAGCTGTGGACACTGGGGCTGCCTCCCTTCCCACCTGTGCGTGCCCGCTGCTCAGCCTGCCTTCTACTCACCTTGTAGGTTTGCCACCCCCACCCCCGCAGGATGGCTACCACAGACCTCGAGTGGACCGTTGGCTCTCATCTCCAAGTCGCGCACCTAGCCCTGACTCCCACAGCAAGAAGACAGGTGGCAGTGGATGTGAGCCCCCCCTGACACTTCTCCTGTCCCAACAGGGTTCCCTGCTTCTGTCTTTCCTCTTTCTGAGGACGTTTCAACCCATCCTCTCCTAAGTGAACCCCTCGGCTTCACTCCTCCTTCCCCTTCTTTGAATTAGCTTGCCTCTCTCCAGCCAAATTTGGGGGCAAGGCTAAGAGCTAAGACATGTCAGCCTCAGAATCGATTCTATTATCTGGTGAATTTGGTTAATGTGAATCAGTGCCCCAGGCCCTTGGCTATGTCCTCAGTAGAAAACCATCCACTTGACCTAACTACCTCCCCAGGTTGTTCTCTCTCTCCTTCTGGTCACTGCCAAGCCTCCTGTGTTCTCTCCCACTCTCTTCCTGTTCTTCCCTCTTCTCTCCCTGGAAAGGAACCATTTATGGATGTGCAGGTGTATTTATTACACGTCTCCAGCACTTGGCATTAAAATGCCTTTTTCTAATCCATTTATTATGACAAATTCCTGATGGTGGAAAGTGAAACATCCTGCGAAAGTCACCCAAAAAAAAAAATTTTGCACAAAGGTGCTGCATGAGTTAGGGGTGCCCTGCCCCCCCCAACAAATTTCCCAGAACCCATCATCTGAAGGTCACTGATACCCTTACCGTGACATCAAATGCTGTCCTCACAGTTCTCAGTCCCCGTGAGTCCTGGTGGCTCGTGACACTACTTCCCACCCCCTCGGGCAGTGGCCACACGCCGGAGTGCTAAGTGTGGGCCCCCCCCCGCCCCAGCTCTCGTCTGTTCTCCTGGCTCTGGCTCGGCTCTTCAGGGACGGCTCTGAAGTCAAGAGCCGCAGCTCCTGCTTACATTTCTAGCAGCCGGCTGGACGTTTCCATCCAGAGGCCTGTCCTGCCTCAAAGACAGCCCCTCTGTCAAACATGGATTTAAAACAAATGAATTTTAAAGTCTTTACACACACACACACACACACACACACAACCTTTCCCCTCAAAAAACAAAAAGCTGTCATGACTTGCCTATTTCTGTTCATTGTACCAACATTTTCCTGACCTTCGAAGCTTGACATTTCAGAGCCATCTGATGGCTGCCTTCGTTTGACCCCGTCCCCTCCCCTGTCTCCTGAAGTCCAGGCCATTTGGCACGTCTCTGAAATCTCCCCTTTCTTCCATATTCCCGGAGCCTCCAGCCTAGCTCAGACTTACCCAGAGCTCACCCCCTCCCAGGCACATCAACACGCACCACGGTGTGACCTGTCTCATCCCCTCCGATCTGCCAGGGCACCGATTCTGTTCTTTCTCTGCTAAAAAGCCTTCGGTGGCTCCTCATTGCCTCTAGGTAAGGGTGATACTCAAAATACTGAGCCTCCGACCTGTTGTAGGCAGCTGGGCGTTAATCCTGTATTTGCTGAATCTTGAGGCAGGCCAGGGGTCCCGGAGGAGGGAGGAGGGAGCACTTGCAGGCTCAGGGCTGTAATTCCAAAAGTGAGGTCCCAAGTCGTTGACCTGGCAAGGCCCTTCCCCATGAGGTCCCAGCTGACTTCCCTAGTCGTCTCTCACTTGGTTTCCCTGACTCCCAAAATACTGCTCCAGTCAGAGTTAGGGATTTGCTGGCTTTTGAGCTTGCCTCTGTTCGGTTTCCCACCTCTGTGGTTTTGTTTTACTTGGCTCTGCTCAACCAGAATGCTCCGTGAATCCTTTAAGACTCGATCTGTGGAAGCTGCTTCCCCACACCAGCCTACCCTTACATGAATTCTTCATTTTACATTCATAGCAATTGCCGCTCTTTGGGCAACTGGTCGCAAACAGCCTGTGACATCTCCTCTGTTATAATCACAAACTGTTACTTAAATCTTCAATGACCTGGACCTCTTTTGTCTCTCCAGTTAGTGTGTTACCTTCTGAGGGGCGGGGGGGGGCGTAGCACCCACAGAGCAGGGCACACTACAAAGCATCTAGCGAGCACCAGCGAATATTGCCGATTAAGCTGGTGAGAGATGGGGACCAAAGTCTGAGGCTGGTGACCTCTGACCTCCCCCCTGCACAGGCACTCACCCCAGGTGCTCCACTGCCCAGGGCCAGCCCTCCCTGGCTCAGTGCCCTCATGGTACCCCCACTCCCACCCCCCAGCCTTGCACCCGAGAGTTGTTACTACTTTGAACATCCCCTGCCCCTAAAGAAACTTCCCTGTCCAGTTTCTTTCCTAATTCAAAGTGTTAAATTAGCTAATCTGGTTAACTAACCTGTGCTGATCTAGTTACGGGAGAGGGCTGGAGGCGACCCTCAGGAGACAGGTTCATTTTGACCAGAGTCCTGTGGCAGCACCATCCTGGCCTCTGCGATGGTGTAATGGAGTCAGGAGACGGCTCCTCACCCCCCAGCAGCCCATGTAGTACAGCTTCCTCTGGGCCCCACGGCACTTTGCGTATACCTCTTATTGTAGCACTTAGCACATGGTAGCTCCTTAGCTGTGTGTTCATGTATGTTGCCCCTCCAATAGACTGTGAGCTCCTCAAGGACAGGGACTGTGTGTTAGTCACTGATGTATCCCCAGCGCCTAGCACAGTGCCTGGCACACAGTAGGTGCTCAATAAATGTTTATTGAAAGAAGGAAGGAGTCTCGGCTCTAATCACGGGGATTTCAGCCCTACACTGTGGCAGGCACAAGGGGGAGGAGAACAACCCAGACCTGGGGGCTTTCACTGCTTTTGGACCCCTCACGTAATACCGCAGGCCGCTGCTTCCTCGCCCGTGTCTGCGCCCCGCCCCCCCCCAACAAGGATCCACGAGGAGGAGCCCGAGGCCGCTTCCAGCTGTGCGGCGCTGCCACCGGGAGCCGCGGGCGACTCCTGAGCTCCCGCCCTTCGCCCCGCCCCCTTCCCGGGACAGCTGCGGCACTGCTTCCTCACCCCTGGGGGGAACCCAGTGGCCGAAATGTCAGGTCCGCTGGGAGGGGCGGGGCGAGAAGTTATTTCCACCATCATAGGTCTTTCTGACCCCATAAGGTATTTTTTAAAGAGGCGGTTCGGTTGTCGCTGGTTCCAAAGCTGCTGGACCCGAGGTGGGTGAGCTCGTTCTCCCACGCCTGCGAGGCCCCGAAGGTCGCAGCCTGTGAGAGCCCCGGCCCCAGGCGCGCCGGACGTGGGGACCAACGTCCAGCAGGTGGCGCCGTCGAGCTGGCCATGGCGGGCTGCCGGCCCAGGAGCGCCCGGGAGGGGAGAGGCGGCTGGGGTGGGGCCGGCGTCTTCCCGTCCCTCCGTCCCGACTCTGCGCCCCCGACTGTCCCTGGGCGGCTCCGGCCCCCACCAAAGCCTTGCGCGGCCCCGGAGCTTCGAACTTCCCCACTCCTCCACTTTCCAGGGAGAATTTAGCAGGGAGCTGAACGCCCTCTCCCCATTGGCCTGCCGCGCCCGGCCCCGCCCCCCCCCCGCGACCCCCTCCCCCAGCCTCCAGGACCGGCAGGTGAGCACGCGGTGGACCCGGCTTGGCGCGCCGGCCGCCGCTCTCCCCCGGTGGCGGGAGGGAGCCTCCGCCGCCGCCCCCCCCCCCCCCCAACCTCAGGGCGCCCGGCCCGGCCCGCCTCCCCACCGCGGCCTGCCTCTAGCTGCACGCCCGCGAGGCGTCGCTTTCCACCTGGAAATCGGAGAGCGAGCGCGGCGTCCGATTGCCCGCGGAGGGCCCCGAACGCCCTCAGCGTGAGCCCGGGCTCCCCGCGGGGCCGGGGCCGGGCCGGGGAGGCGTCCGCACCCGGCGGCCCGACGCTGCGGCGTGCCAGCCCCCTTCGCGGCGGAAACCCGGGGCCTAGGAGAACACGTGGAGTCCTGGCCCGCTCTGCTGCCGGGTGTCCAGAAGGCCCGAGCCCGGCACCTCCCCTGGGCAGCTAAGCAGGCCGCCCTTGGGGCGGACCCCATTCCCCCTAAAACACACACACACAACACACTACACACTACACACCCTACACACCGCACACACACACCGCACACACACACCATACACCGCACACACACACCACACATACACACCACACACACACTACACACCACACACAAACACACCACACACTACACACCACACACACACATATACACCACACACACACCGCACACTACACACACAGTACACACTACACACCACACACACGGCTTCGCAGGGGCGGGACACAATAGAACACTCAACAAGCTCCCCTGTTACAGGTTAGATTATGGAAGGGGCGGTTTACTGCCCAATTCGCCCCCCTCCAACCCAAATGGGGATGCGTGGAGAGCAGATGGTCCTTTCGGCAGAAATACGGAGACTTGAACAGGGCCTCCCTTTAACCCTGCACCCCAAAGAGGAACATTCTGGTAAAACCATCATAAACAACAGTAGGCCCACGACCTCGGCACATAGGAGGAACTAACTTCAGCTAAACAGCCGTGTTTGCTCAGTACGATTCCCTTCCTTCGTGGGTAAATCGAGCCCTATTTGGCAGATGGAGCAATGAAGACAGAATGATTAGGTTCTCACCCGAGGTCAGCCTTGGCGGTAAGTGCTGGAGCTGGCTCCTTCCCCTAGGCCGCACTGGAAGGATGAGGCGATCCATTCAGTAAGAGGGAGGCCACCGCCCTCACTACGGTCTGGAGCAGGGATGCAGAGCCTGGAGCAGGGATGCAGAGCCGATCACAGCCCCTATCTCCTGCCTTGGTCTTCCCACCCTGGCAGAAGGGCAGTGAGGGGGTCTCTAGGAAAGGTGTGGGGAAAGGATCCCAAAGGCCAAGAAAACAAGGAACTGCTGGTTGGTTTTGCTTTTAGCTCTCCTCCTTTCTGCAGGGAAATAAAGGGCTGTGTGTGCCCACACACCCAAACCCAGACGCCCATGGCTGTCCCCGGCTCCCTAAAGGCCCCTCACCCATTCCTCTGGGGTCATTCTGACTCTGCCCTCAGCATCTTACCTTCTGCCTTAAGTGGAAAGCCTTATGGTAAGCACCCTCACCACTCTCCCTTCGTCCTTTCTTCTGAATCTCAAGCGATTACCTTTCTACCTCTCCGTCTGGCCCACCTCCCAACACATTTTTACCAGTTTATTCAAACAAAAACAAAAAACCCTCTATCGTTACCCAGTTCAAAGTTTTCCCGTGGTTCCCCATCACCTAAAGCAAAAGTCCAAGCTGTGCTCCTTGGCATGCCTGGCAGGTCTCCTGCGCCCTCCCTCCCAGTCTGTCCCCTCCAGCTGCAGTGACACTCAGGTGGGTTGTGGTTTCCTGCACGTACTACCCTCTTATTTGTCTCTAAGCCTTTGCTCCGATTGTCCCCTCAGTTGAGACTCTTCCCTACCACCCCTAACTCCTGTTTTTCTACTGAACTGTCAACTGAGCACCCTCTCCCAGGAAGTCCTTCACCCCAGGGCTCTTGCCCATCCCTTTGAGCTGAATCCTTGCACTCACCACATAGCTTTGGTGACCTACTGACATATCTGATTTCTTAACTGCAAGTTCCAAACAGAGGACTGAGCTAAAATCAGTGCTGTTATGCGGTTATTTGGGAACATGAAGCATCAAGATCAGAAAGTGGGTAAGCAAAGGCCAATGAGGAAGATTAATGCTGTGGCTCAAAGGAATGGATGTTCCTCCACCTGGACAGAAAGACCTGGGTTGAAGCGTGCTCCTGGGGCTTGAGCTAAGGGCAGCTCACAGTTCACTCCGGGGGTTGGCTAGCCTCCAGTTGGCCAGACCCACAGATCCCCTCACCTGTATACTGACAGGGTTCCCCAGACACTTAAGCCACAGTGAGAGGTCCTAAGAATATAGCTTAAACACCCCAGACCTATCAAGCATCCCCTTCCCCTCAACCAGTAACAGGCCCATTCTGGAGCCAGCAGTCAGAAGGAACTGGAGCTTCTACCACTGTTTTTCAGAAGTGGGACGAAAAGGTGTAAAATCCAGGATGGGCATCTTGCCTCCATAGTAGCTGGCTCTTAGGAAGCCAGAACCATGGAAGGCCTGCACCGTGTGGGTGAGCAGGGGGAGCACGGGCACAACAGTGAGGGAGTGAGGAGACTGTGTGCTCAGATGCAGATGTGGGTGGCCCAGGGCAAGGGAGCCAGCGGGCAGGTGATCTTGAGTTAAAGAGGGTCATTCCTTCCAGCCTAAAAGAGGGCTCCTCCTTCCAGTCCTCCTACTCCTGTGGCAAACAGGGAACACACACACACACACACACACACACACGTGCACACGCATGCATGGCTCAACGGACGCAGGTAGTCCATTCTTCCCACCGCTCCCTGTCCCCGCACCCCACCAGGATGTGCCCCTGCCTTGCCTTTTCTTTCCAGATCTTGCCCCAGTGGCCCAAATGATCACTAGCCCCGCCACCTCGTCCTCATTCGTGCTACCCAAACTGCAAGGCAGGATCAGGGGTTTCCCGTCAGGACGTCCATCTGTTTTAACCACGGAAGAGCCAATGCGGGGAGAAGAGTAAAGACAGGAGACAGAAGCCCTGACACAGGTTTTTCAGTATGCAAGTGTTTTTGACTCCACAGCCAGTTGCTTAAAATGAAACATAAAGGGCAGCCAGAATACACACCCAAATGCAAAAAGGTAAAGGCAAACATAAAATAAACCACACAATACCATGAACCCCCACAAAACCAAAAAATTAAAACCCAAAACCCCTCAACTTTATATATATATATATATTTTTTTTTTTAAAAAGGGAGAACAGCTGTTCAAAACCAACTGGGCAGTATGGTGGGGGTGGGGAGCAGTCCTACAGAAGGGGGCCTAGAACTTCCCCCTGGGAACAAAGAACAAACACAATACAAAGAAAATAACCACCAATGCTCCTGCATGGGTCAGGAGTCTCCAGAGAACAGATTGTCCCATCCTCAAACTGGCTTTTTTTTTTTTTTTTGCCTTTTTTTTTGTCTTTTTTTTTTTCCATTTTCTTCTTTTGTTGTTGTTGTTTTAGCACCTGTACAATAAAACTGTACCATCTCCAACCAGAGCCGGCCACAGCGAGGCCCTCCTGCCTTCGGATGGTACATACTCTCTACAAGGATTGTTTGGAAAAAATAGCAATTGGTAGAAAAATAAGAACAAGAGTAGGAAAGACAATGCCACAGAGCAGGGCAGGGACAGGGAACCGCCCCCCCCAGCTCCTCCCTCTCTCCCTCTCTCTCCCAGAACAAACCCAGCGCAGGAGGCCAGGAGGGAGGCCTGGCAGGGCCCCACAATCAGCCCCAGGTCCCTCAGCAGGAGCGGAGCCCAACCTCCTGCCCTCACCTAGCAAACAGCTGAGGCCTGGATCTCACATCTGGCAATCCGTCCCAGAGCCCTCTGCAGATTCCAAAGGAGAATGGGGGCAGAGATAGAAGCAGGGAGGAGAGAGGAAGGGGGTACTGAGTCTGGCAAGGGGGAGAGGTGAGGGTCAAGGGCTGGGAGCTGAGAGGCTCAGCATCGAGAAAGGGTGAGGGCCGGAGGGGGTGGGGTGGCTGCAGGAGGGGAGTGGAGATGCAGGTACAAGCCCATATTGTGCACTCTGAGGGGAGCAGTGAAGGAACTGTGAGGAGGGGGCGATCTTAGCCTTCAGGCCCATTCCTGACTCTCCCCAAATAGAGTGACCCATTAACCCCGCCCCCCCTCACAATCCACCCCTCCCCAGAAACACTAATCTCAAGATAGTGGGGCTGCTGCAAAGGGCAGGTGGTGAAACAGAAAAATGGGGGGGGGGGGAAGCACCAAAGCCTCAGGATTACCCTCAACGCCCCAGCCCCAGGCCAGCACCAGCCACCTTCATTAGTCACAGGTCCTTAGGGCCCCCCTCCCCCCGCCCCTCTTGCCCCCTCCCCAGTGGGGTGAAAACAAACCTGGGAGTCACTTTGTCAAGAGGGAGGGGGCAGCTCCAGAGCTGATCAAGAAAGACAAAGAAAGGAGGTGAAGAAAGTCCCTCAATACAACAAGTTGTCTCAAATCGTCACAGTGATACAGACTTATCAGAAACCAATGAAACAATACAAATTAAATACTAATAAAATAAATACTATGGAAGACAGAAGAACACAGGGGAACGGAGGGCTCGCTCAGAGATTTGGGCTTTTCTCATTTCTCCTCCGGACAGGCCGAGGCCACCCCAGCGCCCAGGTGTGGTCTTGGTCACACACAAAGGAAGCCAGTCCAATGGACCCTGGCGCCACCTCCCACCATCCCCGGGGACCTCTTGTCCTCAGATGTGGAGTTCAACTTTCCACTCCCATCACCAACCACAACAACAAAGACGATGACAGGGAGATGAGAACTAATCATAACCGGAAAAAAAAAAAATCCAGTCACTAATGCTGGCATTGATAAGGCGGCTTCTTGTTGGTCCGTATTATTGCCTCATTCTGCAGTCTGGTGCTCGGCGGCGGGGGAAAGACCTGGGGGGGGGGGAGGAGAAAGAAGAAAAGGGAGCAGCCCTTGGCCTGGTCAACTGTTCCAAGGCTGGAACTCCACCTCAGACCCCAGGAGCCGAAGGAGCTCGGGCTCGTACCGCACCAGCTCCACAGTCTCAGAGGAGCCTGGGGCCGATCTGTCGTCCATGCCTCCGGGCCTCTCGGCTGGGGTCAGAAGCTGACTGGAGGCCACCTGCCGGTAGAACTCGGCCTTGGGCAAGGTGGCAATTTCAAAGTGCGGGAACCGAGCCTGAAAGATCCTGGAGGAAAGCTTCAGCCTCTTCAGGACGTCGGTAAAGAGGAACCAGTTGCAGGGCCTGGAAGAGGCAAGAGTAGGAGTTTAGGAGGGAAGGGGGTTGGGGGGAAGCAGTGGGGTGCCGGGAACACTCCGGAGGGCCCAGGAAGGCTGCCGGTCTGGCTACCCCTGCCCCCAAACTAAACCATGGGCTCCTTGGGTGTCGCTGAGGTAAAACTTTCCTGTTCCCTCCAGTGGCTGAACCACTGGATGGAGCTTTCAGCTCCATCTCCAGCACTCAACCCGTGACTGAGCTCTTCCCAAAAAGTGGGAGCGGGAGGGAAAAGGGACCTTCCAGAACCTAAAACTCAGAGCAGGCATCCCCAGGCTTTCCCCCACACCCCGCAACTTGGAATTTACCATCTGCTGGGACCAGTTCTTCCCCCCACCCGACCCCTGCTCCCCTGTCTGGTTTCCCTTTCCTGTTCTCACTCCTGCTTCCCCTGCCTCCTTATTCTCTGAGACCTTCCCCAACAGACGGGGAGCCGTGGAGAAAGGCCTAAACTGCGGGTAATCTAAAAGGCATTTCTCTTTGGCTCTGGAATGCATTAGACAAGTTTTTTCTCCAGCGGCAGCACCGTCCTTTCTGCAGGGCGGGAGCTCACATTACAGCCAGTCTGACTTTGCAGAGCACACCCGACTAGGCGGCAGCCTGGGGACAGCTGGAAGGGGTGCTAGAGAGGCCGCTCAGGGGCCACAGCTCCTCCCTTTGACCAAACCAGGAAGACACGCTGCATCACCAGGTTAATGGGCCCCATTCCAAGGCGGTCCCTCCTCCCGTGGCACTGTCCGGCTCCCAGCGGCCGCATCGGCCTCCCAACTGGCTGCCCTCTGCCAAGAGTCACTTGGCTGCACCCCCACCCGCCCTCGCTGGATCCTCTATTACTATCTATTACTTACTATTCTTTTTCTAAAAAGAAAATCCGACCTTCTCACTCCCTGAACTGCTTTCCATGGATCTCCATACCTCCAGCAAAAAAAAAAAAAAAAAAAAAGCCTCCAAATTCTTTACCACGATATTGCAAGACCTTTCAAACATGACCCCATCCGGGTGCCTGGGTGGCTCAGTTGGTTAAGCGACTGCCTTCGGCTCAGGTCATGATCCTGGAGTCCCGGGATCGAGTCCCACATCAGACTCCCTGCTCGGCAGGGAGTCTGCTTCTCCCTCTGACCCTCTTCCCTCTCGTGCTCTCTATTTCTCATTCTCTCTCTCTCAAATAAATAAATAAAATCTTTAAAAAAAATTAAAAAAAATAAAAATAAAAAAACAAAAAAAATGACCCCATCCAACCTCTTCAGCCCAGTCTCCCCTGTCACACACGCACACGCACACGTGCGCGCACACGCACACACTGTATCCCACCCCCCCACCAAGTGCCAGCCATTGGATGAAGGACACGCCCTACTTTCTGAACTTCCTGAACTTGTTAGCCTTTGCCTGTACCACGCCCTCCATCAGCCTCTCAGGCCCAGCTCAGATGCCAGATCACCTGTGAAGCCGCCCGCCCAGCCTCCCCAACCTCCCCACCCTCCGTGAAACTGGTGGCTCGTCCCATCTCCCACCATCCCATGGCATTTGGTTCACACCCCCTTTATAATCCTTCGAACACTGCCTGTCTCAGAAAGGCCACAAAAGCAATGGAAACTGCTGTCTCTGTGGCACAGGAATGGGGGCTCAGGGTGGAGTGGAACTCCCATCATTCACTTGACACCTTGCTCAACTATGTGACATTTTTGTCTCTTATTAGAACTAATTGTATACTCGTCTGTCTCTTCCACTAGCCTGGAGATGCTCTGAAGGCTGTATTCTGGCCCTCGGGGTTTGCCCGGTGCACCTGCTGAAGACACGGGTACAGGACAGACTGTTCCGCACACCACATACCACTTCTGCCCAGACTCACACCCCTTCTCCCTAACATGCAATGCCTTTCCAGGGACGGTAAATGCTCTTTTCGCACCATCAGGAAATGGAGTGCTCTGGGTTCAGAGAAAGGGACTATAGATACCATACCATAAAGACCATCGCTTTAAAAAAATGGAAAAGAGCCCTCAGAACAGTTGGTAATAAGAATTCAGCTTTGCTTTGATGATTCCGAAGGCAGTTATGAACCCTGCAGGGCCTCAGGGTCATCATTCTACACCTTCCCTACTTCTTTTTTTTTAAGATCTAATTTATTTGAGAGAGAGAGAGAGTGCGTGCGTGAGCACGCAAGCACAGAGTGAGTGGGGGGAGGAGCAGAGGGGGAGGGAGAGGGAGGGGGAAAATAATCCCAAGCAGACTCAGCACTGAGCACAGAGCCTCACTGGGAGCTCGATCTCATGACCCAGAGATCATGACCCCAGCTGAAACCAAGAGTCAGGAGCTCAACCGACTGAGCCACCTAGGCACCCCTATACCCTCCCTACTTCTTGGAGAATCTGTATTTCCCATTGTGCTGCAGCTGTGGGGAAGGGCAGATTCCAAAGAGGCACGGGAGGACAGGAGGCCGGACTGGCAGGAGACCCAGCTTTGCCCGGACCAAGCTCTCAGCTGAAAACCTGCTTGCCTGGCTCGCTGCGTGGCCAGTGGCCCTTGGTTGCCCCGTGTTCTGTCCACACCTGACGCACACTACCCTGGTCCTTTTACTGCCTGGGGCCCAAGATCCTGTTTCAGAGAAGGAGGTGCTGAATACTCTGGAGGAATTAATTAACTGTGCAATACTATATCCCAGAGGCCCTGCCCCGCCCTCGGGGATCAGCTGATGCCCAGAAGAATAAGGACCAAAAGCCCCTGAAACTTGATCCCTACCAGTGTCATCATATAGGCTATTTTTATTCTTATCAGGCCCTGGGGGAAGGGACACACAGAGCCTTGTGGCTCAATGGTTAGAGTCGTCAACTTGAGGGACTCACTTGAAGGGCTCCCGATCCCCCGTCCTCCCCTCTCTCTGCCGTGTGCGCTTCGTGTACCATCACTTTTTAAACAAAAACAGGGTCGGATACTTTAAAAATAGGTATCAAAGGAAAAGTATCCTTAAGAGTGTTTGCAAAGGTATTTGAACTATGTGAAGACACCAAGAAGAAAATACTGAATAATGGGGGCTAAGAACAAAAGCACAGGTCATCCAGCATCCTCCTAAGCAGCACGGTCACGTGCTGCCATCCAGTGAAAGCCAACCAGAGCCACAGCCCCGCAGGCTGACCAACTCCCTTCTGGATCATCAAGTAAAGATTAAACCAGGTTTGGTCTAATGGTGTCAGGTATATTCTAGTCTCTGAAAATGGGTGACACCCGTTAGTAATATCCACAGTCATCTGAGAGGACAGTGCCCGTGCCATCATCTCATCAACATGAAGGCTCCGAGAAAGCAGCCTGTGGGCTCCTTAAGGACCCCAGCAGCCCCTTAGCGATGGCAACCGTATGTCGCGGCTTTTCCAAGAATCTCAGTTTCAAATATTCTGTCTGGCTGTTCCCAGAAACCACAAAAATGTTCCAGAGATTCTAATAGTTCATCAGCTCAAACATCTCCCAGATCACCTCTTACACCCAGGAACAGCCAGCAGAATCCTTCAGAGAGTGAATCTAGATTTGGGGTTTGGAAAGGACATACAGTCAATACATCTGGAGCTTACAGCTTCTGTTCCGAACGTAACTGAGCAGGGCGGGAAAGTCAGGCTGGCCTTGGTCATATGTCAGCTTCCCCGAGCTCCAGCGTTTGCTTGCCAGGTCTGGGCTTCCTCCTGGAGAGCTCCACCCTTCCCAGGGAGGCAGGCCAGGGGTTGCCAGGATCCTGGCACTCGGTTCCTGGAGATCTCTTAGACACTTACCCTCGGGACACTGACACTTGGAGGTTGTAGCAAGGGAGAAGAGGCTTGTCTGAGAGCTCAAACATAAAATCATCCTCTTCCACATCATCTCCTTCTTGATCAGAGTTCCCAGGAGGATTATGCAGGAGGTCACAGGCAAAGCCATCTTTTTCCTCTGTAAGGAGAGCACATGGGATATTAGGACTTAGCTACATGCACAAAACTGAAGAAAAGAGGGGCGCCTGGG